GGAGAACATGTCTCACTCAAGAAGTGCTGCAAAAGAAAGGAAGGCCACTAGTTCCCAGGTGTACTTTGTGTAACTTGACAGGAGAAACAAATAGTCATTTATTCTTACATTGCAAGTACACTTCTTAACTATGGGAACTCTTCCTAAACATTTCTGGCCAAAGCTGGTCCATGCCAGAACACACTTCTCACCTCCTAAGCTGCTGGATTAGAAAAGGGGGTAGCAAAACTCAAAAAAGATGGTGGAAACTGATTCCTTCATGTATTTGGTGGTCAGTCTGGACAGAAAGGAATGGTAGATGTTTTAAAGATAAATCCAGTTCCATTCACAAAGTCCAATGGAATTGTTTAGTATCTTTACTATTTTGGTGTAAACAATTATGTATAGATGATGAAGATCAAATCATAGAACTGATAGGAATTGTAAATTTTGTATGGGTTATGGTTGTAACCCTTTTTTTATGGTGGCCAGCATTTCCTTAATGTTGAAGAATACTACTTACCAATTGTCAAAAAAAAAAAACTTTCTATAGCAAAGAATCTTGTTCTTAATGGTTTGTCTCTCCATTTAATTTCATGACATGAATTAAAAGCCAAAATACTGAGATAGCCCCTTGAACTTGACAAAAACTTTCTTTTAAATGAGAGCGACCTGCAAAACACCTGAAGTAAGTGCAAATTGTGCCTATTGAAGACAACAGTAAGGGATTGTTTGGTATAAAGGATAAAGAGAGTTAATCCCGGAAAAATTTTGAGTAACATTTAATTCCTTGTTTGGTTACAAAGTTTAGAATAACTTATCTCAGGGTTAATAATTAGTATCGGGATAAGTTATCCCAACCTTTGGGTGGAATAGTAATTCCGAGATAAAATAGACAAAATGACAAAGATATCTCTTTCAATAATTTTTATACATCACTTTTCACATTCATGTATATTCACATTATTTTTAATACCATGTATAATAACATTCACAACCTTCACCACTTCTTATTTTTATGATAATTCTTTATATTTTTCTATTATAAAATTACACTATATAAATATAATTGTTATTTATGAGTTTATTTGACTAATTCTAATGTTTATTTATATTTTGATTTCTCTACAATTGAATTACATATATTTAATTATATATTTTTTTAGTCACTTGAAAGCTTGTATGTTATATATCAATTAAAATGAAGATAACTTTAATATGTTACAATTTAAGAGAGATATGTGCTTTAAATGAAGTGATACAAATAATAAATTATCATTTACTTTAACAAACATAAGATGGAAGTTCTATTTTTAGCCTAAATAAGAAGAAAATTTTTATTTTAAAATACACTTCGATACCATCATGGGAATGCACACACAAAAATATTCAAGTTAAATAAGATGAAAATTTTATCTTTAAGAATGATAACTAAAGCTTGCAAAGACAATATAAAAAACTAAATAAAATGAAGGTTATTTTTGTAAACAAACAACTTGTTCTTAAAATTTATGCAATGCATTTTATTTGAATACAACAAACCAGACAGTCAATAAGAAATAATCTCATCATAACTAATCCCAACATAACTAATCCATCATAACTAATCCCATTATAATTTATCCATCATAATTAATCTAATCATAACTTGTATTCAAACCAAATGACCCCTAACAGTCACCAAATATGGGTGACATTGCCTCGTGTTTTTCTGAAAATGAGTTAGACGCCGAGATTCAGAAACTTAACTCTATACCCGATACTACAATACTTCCTTTTTGTTGAAGATACCACCCAAAAATAGTGAACTTACAGCAACTAATCTGGCTTGATGCCTGTTAATTGTAAATTGTCTAGCTAGACTCCGCCAGAGACAGCAAAGCTTCAAAACTTGAAAACCTTTTCCTGCAAGTCAATACGTTTTCTAGGTCTATGATGCCGAAGCTGGGTAATCCAGTTGAAGTCTATCGATTTCTGGTATAACAAGCTCTTTGGTTAAGTACCGGCCATTTACATAGGTTAAGAATGTCACTTTTTGAAGAAGGGTTCTGGTATTTCCTTTATGTGTTTGTGATAAAATTGTAAATATGTCATGTGTGTTACTAAGTTGCATGTCAGTGTCTCATTTTCTGAAATTAATGTGAGTGAAAGATAGTCAGAAGATGAAGAGAACAACAAAGAATGAAGAGGAAAGCCATGTCAGCAGACTAGGGTTTTGGTGAACCAAACTTTAGTTGAAGTATTAAGCCCCTTTTCACTATGTTGCTCGGATACAGGTGCGGCACCCAACAGTACGGATCTAGAAGTCAGATTTGTCATCACCTTAAATCCTAGGATTCAGGGATAGGAATAGGAGTACGGGTACAGGTGTCAAGACACAACCAATATGGTATATTATGACATATATAAGAATATATTTTGACAACTATTTGAAGCTATTAAAATAATATATTTCAAATTTTCTGTTTTTCCAACTTCACTTCAAATAGTATTTTTTTCATGAGATCTCAACCAAACAGCACAGTCGAAATGAAAGTGAATTACTAAATGAAACTTTGGAAGAATGGGCCACCATGTTATAAACCGTACTGGTATTTTTCTAATTCAATTTGTAACTTGTGAAACTCTAGAGTCAATTTGAAAAAAGGAATCTGGATGAAACTACTATGCTAGCGTTTCACCACAAATTCCCAAAAAAAATTGGCAAATCATTTTTGGGAGAAGTTTTTTGTTTGGCCATGAATACAAATTGGAGTTTTTTTTTTTTACTTTTTTTGAGTAATTTGGAGTGAAAAATGTGAGCACCTTTTTGTTATTTTCAAATTTTTGAATATTCTAGAATTCAAATTCAAGTTGAACTCTGGAATTTTATGGCCAAACGTGTTTTCCAGAGTTCAACCCTGATAAAAGTGAAAATTTCATATGATTGTTTGGTTTGAAGACAAGTTATGCTGAGAGTAGTTATGTTGGGATAAGTTATTTAGGATTAGTTATGCTAGGATTATTTCTTATTGACTATTTGGTTTGTTATATTCAAAATAATATGCATTACATAATTTCTAAGAATAAATTATTTGTTTTCAAAAATAGCCTCCACCTTATTTAGTTTTTTATATTTTCTTTGCAAGCTTTAGTAATTTATTCTTAAGAATAAATCTTCCATCTTATTTAACTTAAATATTTTTGTGTATACATTTCCATGATTGTACCGTATGTGTTTAAAAATAAAGCTTCCGTCTTATTTATTTTTTATGAAATAAAAAACTTCCATATTATTTAGCTTAAAATAAAATTTTCATCTTAAGCTTATTAAAGTAAAAGATGATTTATTATTTATGTCACCTCATTTAAGCACATATCACTCTTAAACTGTAAAATATTAAAGTTAACTTCATTTTTATTGATTTATAAAATACAAACTTTCAAGTGACTAAAGGAATATTTAGTTAAAAACATGTAATCAGTAATATAGAAATCAAAATATAGATAAACATAAAATTAGTTAAATAAATTCAGCGTATAATATATTCATAAGAATTATATTTATATAGTGATTTTTAATGGAAAAATATGAAGAATTGTCATAAAAATAATGAGTAGTGAAGGTTGTGAATGTTATTATACATCATATTAAAAATGATGTGAATATACATGGATATGAAAACTGAAAAGTGATATATAAAAAAGATTTAAGGGGATACTTTTATCATTTTACCTATTTTATCTCGGGATAAGTTATCCCGATATTACTATTCCACCCAAAGATGGGGATAACTTATCCTAGTACTAATTACTAATCCTGGAATGGAGATATCCCAAACTTTGTAACCAAATAAGGGATTATAAAGAGTACTCAACAATTATCCCAGTATAAAGTTCCCTTATTCATCACACCAAACGACCCCTTAGAATTCTATTCATAAAATAGTTCATATAAAAACTAAGTGTTTTAGTAAATATCCGAATATATATAGGACATAAGCAAAACAAATACCTAATCAACATATACTTCTTGGCCATAGATGTCATCAAAGCACCCAAGATACATTTGATCAAATCAAGTGTCGATCCCACATGCACAACCAAATTGTGTAGGATTGACATGGTTGCGTGGATTTTAAAGGATCTCATCAACATAGCCTCGGATTGTGATTCAGAGATCGCAAATTAATTGGTACTCATTTCGAAGTTCACTAGTTGTAGGTATCACAAGACTGTGAAACATAGATAGACAACTAAGGATTCGTAATAATTGAAGCTTCCCTTGCTCATCCAGCCACTCCTTGTTCCTTCCCCTTCCCGGCCCAAAAACCCCTCAAAAGAAAAAATATTGAGCCGAGGGTCTTTAAGAAACAACCCCTATACCTCCACAAGGTAGTGATAAGCTCTGCGTACACTCTACCCTCCCTAGCCCCCACTAAGTGGGATTTTACTGGGTATGTTGTTGTTGTTGTAATTTGCATATATTATCAGACTTGTGGAAACAACAGTCCTTTGACTTCTCTGCAATTTTTTACTTGAATATATAAGGGAGTTAATTGCTTCTTATTTCGACAATGACTCGTCTCTAAAAGTGTCACATAAAGCATAGTGCAAAGACAGAGAGAATGCTTTGACAATCCATCAAAAACTCTATATTTTGGACATCATGGAAGGGAAGGACCAAAGCTACGTCGAGGGAGTTCCAGCTACCATTTCTTCCATGAAGGCTAGTTTCTTAGTGAATCTGTTTAGCTGGAGCAATCATTGTAATGGAAATAATGTTAATCAGTTTTGGAAATTTGTTGGCTCTATATTTATATATGAATCAATGTTACTTTCTAACATGTAGCATCCACTGGATGCAACAGAGCAACAAATTGTTGTTGCCTGATATAGAAAATGTGTCACAAAACGCAAAAGAGATCCTACCAAGTCATGACATGAGGGGGTGAATTTGCTAAAAGAGAAGCTGACTGTAGAATCTTTAAAGATGAAAAGCACATCATTAAAAAGACTTTTAGGGTAAGAGAAAAACTTACTTAAAATTCATAATTGGGAGTTTCCATAGTCTAAGCCTTGTGCAAAAGAACCTTCATACATGAACTGTCAATTTCCACAAGAAATATTAGGTGTCTTATTAGATAATATCCACGTAACTTAATTTTTCAAGGTCAAAAGAACTACTAAATGGTGAAGCAAACGAGCCAAAAAAAGAACATAATAAAATGCAACCACCTTACCTGCGTATTGGACCCAAGCTGACTTCCAACTACATCTTTTCTAACAGATGCATCACCAACCCTTGCAGATCCCTTGGCATCTCCCTGATATTAGTTTCAAATCACAATACATTTTTAATGAAAAATCAGAGTTAAAGAAAATAAGTAAATCTATCTCAGTGATGTGGAGAACTATGTGTACCTCCATCTACAACACCATTGATTGACCCATGCAACCCAGCAGAGAAAGTTGTTCAGGAACCACAGAAACAACATTTACTTAGTTGATTATGAGATAAAATTCAGTTGAACGAAGTCTTGAAACAACAATAGTAAAGTCCATAACCAAAAATACACAGTGCAACATTTAGAAGATGGCAATTGGCAAATGCAATAGTCCATATATTCTTTTATCAATTTCCTCGCAAACCAAATGATGAGGAAGCCTAATAGAACATAAAATAAAGAAAATAAAGCAGTTATTATGAGAAACCAGTCCCAAAACCATTAAGGGCATGAAGAAGAATTGCATTTACCTCTCTGTACCGAGTCAAATAGACCTTCAGTGGTTCAATGTAGTCCTCAAATCCCAAGGTAGCCAGGGCTGATAGTAAATCATCTCCGTTGATCGTCTTTCTCTTCTCTTTCTGACACTTGTCACTAGCTCTATAAAATAAAAGAGAACTCATTTGAAAAACATGCAGAGAGAGTGGTTGTTACTTCCACGTGTCATCATTCTACTAAATCTCAGTATGTATATGTATGGAAGTCCACCCTCTAACAACAAACATTTGAAAATGTAACACATGTCTTCTACTTCTACACAAGTACCCACACATATATTTGGACTCTAACTTCCCAAGCATTAAATACTGGCAACGTCTTTCCATATATTTATATAAAGACTCTATCTAGATCAAATATACGACTTTTATTGAAACTGGTAAAACAACATCTAATGTAAACTTGTATGATCCAGAAAAAGAAATAGCAGTAAAACAATACCATCCATAAGATCTTAGCTACATAGATACTTTTTAAGAAAGGTAAATATCATGTTCAAAATGACATCGCGTATGAGCTACGAGACCTAACAGTAAAAGGAAAATATTGGATCTCCCAAATTCTGACACATACACACACACACACACACGACTTTGAACTCAGACTAATGGAAAGCTAGCATGCCATAGTTTTGATAGAATGACATAATTGGGACATGTAACCTTATCAAAGAAGTCACCCGGCCCGGATGGATACCCTATGTGTTTCTACCAGTGTTTTTGGGAGGTCCTGAAGGAAGATATCATGAACACTTTGCAACATTTTCATTCTCACCAGGTCTTTGAAAGAAGTTTCAATGCGACTTATGTGGCTCTCATTCCCAAGAAAATTGGAGCTGCTACATTAAGGGATTATAGACCTATCAGTCTCATCAGTGGGGTCTATAAAATCATTGCTAAAGTGCTGACAGAAAGGTTGAAAAGGGTAGTAAATAAATTGGTGAACACTCATCAAATGGCCTTTATTAAAGGAAGACAGATCATGGATGTTGCTCTTATAGCCAATGAATGTGTGGATACTAGATTGAGAGGGGAGGTGCCAAGCATTATGTGCAAGCTAGATATAGAGAAGGCTTATGATCATGTGAACTGGAATTTTTGCTAAACATTCTCAGACAGATGGGATTCGGTGAAAGGTGGTTGAAATGGATTGGCTTTTGTATTAAAACTGTTAGGTTCTCCATACTTGTAAATGGAGAACCTGTGGGTTTTTTTCCGTCAGAGAGGGGTCTTAGACAAGGTGACCCTCTCTCCCCTTTCCTATTCATCATTGCCATGGAGGGTTTCAACAGTATGATGAGGATTGCAATTAGCAACAGGTGGATAAAGGGATTCAAGGTTAACAGCAGAGCAGGAGTAGATATGGAAGTATGTCATCTGTTGTATGCAGATGATACTGTGATATTTTGTGAAGCTATAGCTGAACAAATTTGCTATATCAGGATGATACTCATTGTTTTTGAAGCCATTTCTGGTTTAAGCGTTAACTGGAGGAAAAGTAACCTCTTTCCTATTAAAGAAGTGGTGCAGATGGAGGAACTAGCTGGTATCTTGGGGTGTAAGGTAGACAAATTACCAACAGTCTATCTAGGCATGCCATTAGGCAACAAACACAAAGAATTGATTATCTGGGATAGGATTTTGGAAAAGACGGAAAAGAAGTTGGCAAACTGGAAGACGCAATACTTGTCCCTTGGAGGCAGGCTCACTTTGATAAATGCAGTTCTGGACTCGCTTCCCACATATGTGATGTCCCTATTCCCTATTCCAACAAGTGTGGTCAAGAAGTTGGACCGATTAAGAAGAAATTTTCTTTGGTTTGGGAACAAGGAGGGAAAGGGGTATCATTTGGTAGAATGGAAGACTGCACAATTACACAAGGAGGCTGGTGGTTTAGGAGTAAGGAATCTGAAACTGCAGAATGATTGCTTGCTCATGAAATGGTTATGGAGATTAAATGGAAATGATCATGCTCTATGGAAGGAGGTAATCCTGAATTAGTATGGCCAGACAGAGCAATGGTGTACCAATGCAGTATCAACCACCTACGAAACATCGGTATGGAGATCTATAAGGAATCTTTGGCCTAGACTAGTAAAGAATTCATGTTATGAGGTGGGTGCTGGGAACAAAATACTATTTTGGAAGGACCTATGGATTGGACAAGAAGTTTTAATGCAAGTTTTCCCTGATCTGGCCAATATATGCACTAACCTTGAGGTTACAGTGGCTGATAGCTGGTCCCCACAGGGATGGAACTTCTTCTTCAGGAGGCATCTTAATGACTGGGAAGTAGGCAGGTTTGTGGAGCTATTGCAGATGATTGATGGTTTCAAAGGCACTACTGTAGAGGATGACACTTTTAGATGGAAACATGATAAGGATGGCAAGTTCTCTGTAGGTAGAATTTATAGGAAAGAGGTATCCTGGATGCCTGAGAACAAAATAGGCCCTTGGAAGCATGTATGGAAAAGTATGGCTCCTACTAAGGTCAAGTGCTTTGCTTGGTTAGTAATCAGGAAAGCTTGCCTCACTCATGAGATCCTGCAGAAAAAAGGATTGCCAATTGTGTCCAGATGCATGTTATGTAGTGACGCTAGAGAGACAAATAATCATTTGTTCCTCCATTGTAAAGTCACATCTCAGCTTTGGACTATGTTCCTCAGTTTAACAGAGACAAAATGGTCAATGCCAGAGCACACAGCAGACTTGTTAAGTTGCTGGATTAGGAGAGGGGGAAGCAAGACACAGAAGAAGTGGTGGAGAATAATCCCACACTGTATCTGGTGGACTATCTGGAGGGAGAGGAATGGAAGAAACTTTGAAGATAGATTCAACAACATTCAGAAAATCAAAGAGAGCTGCATAGCAACTTTCTACTTTTGGTGTAAAGAACATTGTATAGAAAATGCTGAACAATTAGTAGATCTTTTAGGATTATTGTAATTAGTTTCTCGTTCTAGCTTGTTACTACCTTTTTGGAGGTCTCCAACATACCTTAATGCTGAGGAATACAACATTACCAGTTTCAAAAAAAAAGAAAGGTAAAATAGGAAAGAGGACTTGTATTTTTAGCGAAGGGACTGCAGTGTGAACATCTAAACAGGGATAAATAACTCGGTATGGCATGATCACGTGAATAACAATGCACAGAGCAACTCAGCATGATCACAGGCAGAAGTGCAGCTGTGGATTACCTTCTACTATTGGGGATATTTTCCTACGAAAAACAAAGAACTAAGGGTTTTCTTGACAATAGCTTCTTCTTTTTAAACTCACTAGCCGAAAAGCAAAAGCAGCTATTCATTTTTTGGGTCAACTATAATCCATTCTAAAAAATGTCACAAGTACAAACAATAAAGTCACTGACAATGCTTTGTATTCCAAATTTTCTTAGTGAGCATGGAGTCTATTGTCACACACACCGGGTCGTTCTTTTTTATGGATTTGTCATAGAGAGTGGTTGATAACATGCTGCCATGCCCACCTTTTTCCATTTTATTTTTGCATTCCTCCCTCCCTACTTCTCATAGCTCCATGTACTACTATTCTTGTCCTCCCCTTTTTTCATGTTTCTCTCAAGGGCTTCATTAAAATGGCAGGTAACTCTACCCTACCTATCTTATTGTCAAGTCCTCTTTTCCCGCAATATTTCCATTTAAATAAGATGACTTACTCCATATTAAGGACACCATGCATTTATGATTCCCTTGTCTACTAATTGTCAACACATCTTTCACTGCGTTCTTTTTCCCCGTACGGAGCAGAAGGTGACAACATGTCTGTGATTCTCCTGCCTCGTAAATGCCATGACCAATTCTCTTGATATTGCTAATCATTGAGGAGATGGCAGGCAGGAACAGTGAAAAGGGATTAAACAAAGGAATGACAGCAGCCAAGGAAGAGTGGAATGAATTCTCCAGTGGGGAGCTTTGGTTGTCATGTACTTCATGGAAGAGTCGTAACAGATATCATTAAGTAAGCTATAACCTTCCCTCCTTTGTTAATTGCTATGGAAAGAACACCAACCAGACATCCTATTGATGTTAGGAGAAAATTTTCTAAAGGCTATCTTTGTCATGTATACAAAATTTGGGAAAGAAAACACGAGAAACACCACAAAAATTGTAACTCTTAGAGACTTGAGCTAAAAAGGTATACGAAGTAGTTATCCATCTCCATACACATAATACACAAAACAAAAATAAAATAGAAACTCTAAAATGGAACCATCTGTGCCTAAAAGGAATTCCAATAAAATTTCTTGAAATGATAAATTACTAAAATTATAAACATCTAAGCATAGAGTTTAAAACTTCGAAAGTTACCCAGTCCAATGCCACAAAACCTCAGTTGACATAGCGATCTTTAAGAATTAGTATAAACTTACTATAAAAATCACATTCCTCCATTTTTTTTTGTACAATTGAAAATACAGGTAAATTACACATTTCTATAATTCACGGAAGCAATACAGACAAAATAGAAACTCTAAATGGAACCATATGTGCCTAAAAAGGAATTCCAACAAAATTTATTGAAATGATAAATTACCAAGATTAAAAACATCTAAACATAGATTTAAAACTTCGAAACTTACCCACTACAATGCCACAAAACCTCAGTTGACATAGCGATCTTTATGATTTAGTATAAACTTACTATAAAATTCGCATTACTGCATTTCAGGATATAGAATTGAACAGTGAAGAAGAAATAGAAGCTTAAAGAAATAGAAGCTTACTCGCTAGTAATAAAACTGATGAACTCAGATACACATTCCTGAACAGTGTCCTTAGAATCCTTTGCGATCTTTCCATTAGCAGGCAATGCCTTTTTCATTATGCGTCCAATATTAGCGATCGGTAGGTACCTATCCTGTTCTCGCAAGTTGGACTGAGGACTCGGGTCACCGCCACTCTCATGGCTTCCGCCGCCGCCTCCTGGACTTGCCGGCTCCGCCATTCTCAGTGTACCGGAACCCTAACTTTATGGATGATCGTAATTCGTAGGTAGAGGTTGATCCAAGAGAATATTTTGTTAGTTTTTGTTTGAGAAAGGAATTTGGCGGAAAATGGATGCTGAGCTTTTCTGCGCTATACACATAGATCCAACGGCAGCGACTGCCAGAGGAAGAACCTATTTTTACGCACAAGGCTTACACCCTTTTTTTCCTTTTAAATATACACGTAATATATAAAGTTGTCCTTTAATTGAAGCATATTTATGCCCTTCAATTTTAGATATGAATAATTAAGTATTTATATTTGTATAAAATTAAACAAATAGATTAACGCTTCCTAACTGACATAAAATGTCACATAGGATGTGAATTGTTGTCACGTAGTATGTCAAGTAGGACACATGTATATATTTGTTCAATTCTATATAAGTTTAAAGGACATAAATACTAAATGAGATACATAATTAAATGACATATTTATATATTATGTCTTTTAAATACACTCAAGTACTTTTATAAATAAAGTTCTTTAACATGCTTTAATTCATTTACGCTTTAAATTTATTACTCCATAGATAATTGATATTTTAACTGTAAAAATATCATCGGTGTATATTTTTTTCCACCTAATATCTAATACCTATATGTTAAATTTGACTAAATCCAAATTCGTATCACAAAAATTTATTGAGGATAGAGCGCTGCCTAAACATGATAGTACTTGAGATTTTAGAACTTAGTTTTTTTCTTTTTTTTGGGTTGTTGTTATTGAAGTGGTACAAATGAACAAAACAAAAAAAAAAAATTGTAGAAGAAAAACTCCCATGTATTTATTTATTGTCGTATTTTACTAAACATATTTTATCGTAGTGATTTGATTCTAATTATTAATTATTTCATTTTTTCAGTGAAATAGAAACAAAAGAATATCATAAAAGTATATTGAGAAGATATTATAACAAATTCCGATTAGATGGGGAAGTAAATAGGCTTTACATTTTTATCTGTTGTAAAACTGTAACAACTATACAACAACAAATAATAATATGATTTAATTGCAGAAAAGCATTAAACAGGAGTTAGATATTTATTAAGGAAACAAAAACAAAGGCTAAAGTACAACTATATCAATATGTCTTCTGACCTAGTACTTGAATACAAAACATAATCATTCATGATTAATAAAATCCCTAAAAAAAATTATTTTCCTATTTTTAATCTTTTAATTTGTAAAGTTTCCTCCATAGTTAGTAGGCATTGTTTTTAGTATTAAGATCTTGTATCTCCAAATCACCTTTCTCACAAGTATTGGGTTCACATAAATTCGGTAATAAAATCCAAAATACTTGTGACGGAAGTCAAATCGTTGAAGCTATATATCGAATTATATTAATTTAATATCTTAAAATTAAAATTTACATATTTAAAAACTTATGAATAGTACTACAATTTATGATTCTTTTCATTTAAACATGATTTTTTCATTAAAAAAATACATATTAAATATTGATCAAAATTCATATAATTTAATTCTTAAAAAGTAAATGTGACAAGTATTTCGAGACGGAGATTAAGAGAGTAACTCTTATATTTTATAATTGTTTTTTTAATTTTAAATGTAAGATGCATAAAAGTATTGGAAGTATTCCTATTCAAGAAAAAGTTCAAAATTTGGGTCAGTAGAGAGGAACGACATTCATTACACTCTCTTTTTTTATTCTGATAAAAGAACAAATATCTAAATACACAATTTATTTTATCATATTTTCAAAAGATTTTTATCATTTGAAAAATTACAAAAATTCATACTCTATTCTATTCTCGAATACATCACTTTACGTGATGTATCATGACATTGAGTGGTGTATCTAAAATTGAATTGCGATATATTGGTACGTTGAGTGATGTATCTGAAACTGAGACACAATATATCAAAGGGAAAAGGCTCAAAAATGCCCTTAACCTATTAGAAAAGATTAAAAAATGCCCTCCTTCCACCTAGTGGTTTAGAAATGCCCTTAACGTTTTCTTTAAGTTCAAAAATGCCCTTAAGTTAACAGAAATATGACATGAAATTTTACTAAACAAGTGGTCAATTGTCATTGGTCCACATAATTTTTTTATTTTTATCAAATAAAAAGACCCACCCAAACCTGATTAATGTAATCCTGCATTTGTATGTTTTATTCCATGAGTGGTTGTGTGTTTTTTTTATTTCCGAAATTGGAGAATTAAGATTTGTATAATATCGGAATATGGAATGAAAGAATGAGCGAGGCGAGGATTGGGAGGATGAAGCAAAAGACAACACGGGTGGCACTAGGGACACTAATTGGTCGGGAGTTGAGGGATGATAATGTCGAGCTACATTAATGGACCTGTTAATTGCATGTGGTATAGCTACATTATCAGTTTTTTTTTTTGTATGAATATTTGTTTCTCTTGAATAGATTTTTGATGGGCATAAATCATAAAGGTGTATTGGTTGCTATCTTCGGTAAAGAAAATCAATTAAACAATGTCTTGAGTGCTATCCCTCAAGGAATTGGTAGGGAACAATAGCTTCAAGCATTTCCTCAAGCACCAGTTGCAATTTTTGTGAAAACTAATGAAGAGTTTCAGCAAAAAGGCAAGCTGCAATCTCTGGTTTTAATATTTCTTTTGCCAGAAAACGGGTTAGGTTTGGGTTGAGTGGGTCTTTTTATTTGATAAAAGAATTGTGGACCAATGAAAATTGGCCACTTGTTTAGTACAATTCCATGTCATATTTCTGTTAACTAAAGGACATTTTTTAACCTAAAGAAAACATTAAGGGCATTTCAAAAACCACTAGGTGGAAGGAGAGCATTTTTGAACAATTTCTAATAGGTTAAGGGCATTTTTGAGCCTTTTCCCTTTGATATATTGTGTCTCAGTTTCAGATACATCACTCAACGTACCAATATATCGCAATTCAATTTTAGATACACCACTCAATGTCATGATACATCACGTAAAGTGATGTATTCGAGAATAGAATAGAGTATGAATTTTTGTAATTTTTCAAATGATAAAAATCTTTTGAAAATATGATAAAATAAATTGTGTATTTAGATATTTGTTCTTTTATCAGAATAAAAAAAGAGAGTGTAATGAATGTCGTTCCTCTCTACTGACCCAAATTTTGAACTTTTTCTTGAATAGGAATACTTCCAATACTTTTATGCATCTTACATTTAAAATTAAAAAAACAATTATAAAATATAAGGTATCAAAATGTTGAAGGATGTATTCGAAATCAGTACGCGATGTATCATGATTTAAGAATTTTTTTTAATTTGAAAAAAAAGTAAGAATAGCACTATGTGCTTGTGTAAAATTCTCTGATGATAATGGTCGATTCTAATGAATAGGTTATGAAGTAACCTTTTAGAGATAGCCCTTTACAAAAAGATGAAGAAATTTGAAAAGGCAATTTTCTTCTATTTGTTTGCTAAGTGGCCAAGAGATCTTGATTCCTCTTTACTAGTCAGTTGATTAATAAAAAGATGGTTTCAGAATATGTTGGATTTACAATGTCACTAGATATATCATTAGAAATGTGATGTAATAATCTATGAATACTCTGCAGCTGCAATGTACATATGAATTACCAGATTATTAACTAGTTTTACTTGAGAGGCTTGTTTTTATCAAAGTAAACAACTGTTATTGAACTATCACTTTTATTTGAGTTAATTACAGTTCTCCTTATAATTGAATGCTTCAACACAAAGTTAATTGTACACCAGAATAAATGTAACAGGGGTGTGCGAAGGGAAGACATTGCTGGTGTTTTTAAGATACGACCTTTTCAATCAATCGTGTACCACAATAATAAGAGGGAAAGATCTACCGGTCATCAAATAGAGAAACTGGATACCCTTCCATGCTTGCCATTTCCATGACCTCCTTCTGCAGATAAAACAACAATGAGTCTTTGTTCGCTACTTGTGCAATACTAGAGGCTTCACAATTTTGTAATTGTTCCACTACTTGAGATTAAGTGACAAACATAGTGCATGTAGACCAATGATTAAAGTCTATAAAAGGAAAGAGTACACAGCAGATCAACTAAAAGGAAGGCCAACGGCGTCATACTCTTGAGGGGTTTTGTCATGTCAATTTTCATAGGTAATTTCTGCTTGTATCCAGACAGCAATACCTCAACGCAGTGGGAAATGAGAGTCAAAGAGATAGGAGATACTCTGCCCGGGTGAATATCTGATTCAGGTAATAGCGTCTTCTTTTACAATCAAACTACTTTATTAATGCTTCTACAAGCACACCATAACAGGATTTCTCAAAATGGAGACTCCATATAAATATAACTGTTTCTTTATGAAGATAAATATATACTGTTTCTGATCACATACGTGTTTACCCTTTTCAGACTATTTCAGTGTACACGATTATGCACTTGATTTCTGTATCTGGTTGGGGGAAGCGGGATGAATACTCAATCTCATAACTTAAGTAATGATTAATAATGTAAGGGTGGACAAATGTACGTTAAAAATGGTACAGAATCAAACAAGTAATCTCTATTAAATGATAAAGATTAACAAGGAAATCTCTTTTATTACCTGGATGACTGCAGTGATCCGTCCAGGAGCATTCTGAAATTTACACAAACATCAGTAAGGGGATTATTCAATGAGCAGCTTCAAAACTTCTTTTATTTATCAAGTTGTTAGTGCATGGATTTGTCATACCTCAAATTGCTTCTCCTCCCAAGTTACTTCAGTCCAAGTTTGTGTATCAAGTGATTCCCATGAACTAGGAGCTTGAATAACTTCCACATGCTGCAATAGCCTCAAGCTACCTGCAATAATAGTTCAAAGAAGTATGCTAACAGTAAAAATAAATCCTCCTACTGTATATAGGAACACAAATTCATGATGGCACATAAACAGGCTTCTACTACCCTTCACTTCTAAACTGTCAGCAATATATACATAATGGAACGTTGAGCACACTTTTCACTTTTGAACTGAGTACAACCTTATATTACACATAGCAAGCATGAAGTTGAACTGGAAAACTGATAGGCAATAGATTTAAGCATCAGGACCACAACTCAAATATGTATACTGGAAATTCAATCTCCACTTGACCAGGTAAAGGGAAATAGCTTTGGAGCACCCGGCGGAGAATAAAGCAAGCTTTGAGTATATAATGCT